GGGCTCATTCTTAACAAGTTCAACTCAGCGTCATCTATCAATGGTCAGTTTTCTGTGCTCCAAATATTTAATTTCAGAAGAAAATAATGCAGCAGTTTTTCTACTAAGGCTTATATTATACACAGGGCATAGAATTAAACCACACTATTTGCAAATACACGTGATTTTCCCCTTAAAACATTCTATATTGAATAAGTACACATTCAAATCATTCTAAACCAGGCTGTTCCTGGTATAATGCACATGATTTAGGGAAAAATATATACCTTACCTAAACATGACTACAAATCCACCAATCAGCTTGCAGTTGTAACTGTAGAGCCACCAAGACATTTATGTCCAATAACCATAGAAACTCCAGGGTGATGGCCAAAGAAATAAGACAGGGGAACCAAATGAAAGGGCACAAGAATCAGAGCCACCCTACCATTCAGGTAGGTGTTCAAGATACACCAGCTACCCTGTCCAGTGCCACCAAAGGGAATTAGAAATGTGTGATGAACTACTGATTTGGTTACTTTTCACATTTGGGGCCTCTGCTGCTTTCAGGACTGGACTCTGTATGTGGACATGTCACTGAAAAGGCCAAGGGAGAAGTAGGTCACCACGATTTCACCAGAGGGATTTGGACAAGGCTCCTCTGTGCTCCCATTATGCCCTGTTCCTCCCTCCACCATTGCACTAGCCCACTACAGTGTAACACCTTGTGCTAATAACTGTATCATGATGCTTCTTTTTGTGTCTATTTCCATCATTAGTTGAGAGATCAAAGGCATGGACCAGGCCTTAGTCACCTTTTATTGCCAGCTTAGTCTAACAAGACCCCTCATGTAGAAGCCCCCCCAAAAGACGGTTGGATATATGTACAAGTGAATAATGCATTTGTGCATTGCTGTTGTACTGCATACAAAATGCCCTTTCACCTTTCAGCTGCAGGCACTAATATTGCTCTGTATCTTCAACCAACACCTCTGCCTCAGCTGAGCCCTTCGGTTTCTGAAGTTACTTCTGTCCTGGCTGCTGCTCTTATGTCAATTAGAGTTGAAGCTCCAGTTTTGCTTCTGGTATTTCTTCTGCCCCAACTGGAAGAAACCCCACTCTCCTCCCTCCCTTCCAGGCCCCATACAACAGCTGTCTGACCAACCTGCTGGTCTGTCTGCCAAGTTCACAGTGAGTGTGCCCAGCCTAGCAGAGCTGTGTTTGAGCTAACATCAAGGCGGGCACACTGGCCATGTGCCAGGCCCTTGCTGTTAGGAAGCCTGTATTGTCATATAATGTTAAATGGGCCTTATAAGTGCCTGGTGAAATGGCTCCCAGAGCCAGATATGCCTTCTAACAAGCAGGCATTGTTACTTAACTGCTTTACCTGTGCAATCCTCACTTACCTCCTGTTCCAGAATATAAACTCCTTAAGGGGCTGTACTGGAATACCTCCTCATAACCTCCCTGAACACCTAGCATAGAGTTCTGTGCTCAGTAAGCTTTCGATAATTATCTCTCCATTTAAGAACAACCACATCCGTCACCATTTCTCAGCCCCAGCTTAACATTAACAGGTGCCTTCACATACACTATTTCCATTCATCCACAAAGCAAATTTCTAGGAAGAATCCTCCTCCTCAATTTTACAGATAAAATCACCCAACTTGCAAGTGGCAGAGCTAGAATTCAGGTCTCCAGATATCCAATGTGGAGTTCTTTCCACTCCACAATGCTGCTTGATAAAAACTTGTTGCATGAATTGAATAAACAGAAACAAGTCTCCCTGGTCACAGCTACTTACTGCTCCCAGACCTCAACATTGATGGCTTCACTCTGCCAGACCCCTGAGGAGACGATGATTAGGTTTTTGACTTTTGCCCATGATGTATGATGTCTACTGCCAGGGGGGCAGCATTCAGTGGCAGCTTTCCCAGGGCACTGGCAAAATTGGTTGGTGCAACTCATTTAAAGATTTTTTTTTTTAATTTCGTCATTATAAAGGAACAACAAAAAAATCATGAGTAGGCAGCCTTCATTAGAAAATTTTTCCAAGAAAATCTTTATGATAGACTGCTTTTCAAACTGTCTTCTCTAGCAGCAAGCACAAAAACCAGTCATGGGAAACGATAGGGCTGAAAGAAGGCTTGGGTTTTGTTTTTGTAAAATTACCCCTCGCAACCTCTTGTGAGTAGTGTGTGCTGCCATTTGAAATGCTGCAAAACAACAGGCCTATTTTGAGGGCTACTTTGCAATTTCTCAAAATTAAAAACTGTCTTTGGAGAATTTCAGCAGAAGCAACATAAAAGTCTAAAAATTGGCTTTTTACACCTAAACAGACCTACAGAAAATTTCTCATCAAGTGAGATGCTGTCCTGAAAGGCCACAAAATTTCAATGTTGTGCTTGAAATGCCAAGGTCAAATGAAAGGAGTCAATCTCTTAAGCAAGGGAAGGCACTTCTTCCCTGCGGAGACACAACCTCAACCTACCCCCACCCCTCACCATCTTCATATGCAAGCCTGACCTGATCCAGCTCACCTTAGCATCCATGAGGCTATCTACCTCTGAACAACAGATTAGCTCTACGTCTGTAAAACCCAACATTCCGCAAGGGAGTACACTTCATAATTTACACTTTAGGTAACTAAACCCACATAAACTTCAGGCCCATTGAACAAATCCCAAAGGTTTACAGAGAAGAAGATGAGGCTCAATATCTTTGTTTTAAAGGCCAGAAATCTAACGTGCATTTTATTTATTACCAGTATTTCCCCCGGCAGTCTAACTAAATTAAAGAGACTTTCTCTAATTTTACCAGATAGAGGCAAGTGGCAGATCAATATACAGCTCAAGAAGAGGAATTTAAATACAGTATTGCGGCTCCTTTCAAAAAAGAGAGAGAGAAAGAGAGGGAGAGAAGCCACTTCACGTTTTGCCAGACAAAACCCTGTCCACAGGAGGTCTGTTTCCACAAAGAGGTTGCAAAGGTGTTAGAAAGAGGCCAGTTGGGAGGAGATAAAGGGCCATTTGGGCACAAACCCCCCACCGATCAGAGCTTTTTTCTGAAGTGTCTCCTTTTCAACCGGGAAGTCTTTTAAAACTACATTTGCTTAGGATCCTACCTAAATGACAATGTGTTGGGATCCAATTTCACCTTTTGTCAAGGACTGGGTGAGAAACAGTAAAATGGCTGTCAGTATCTTAGAAAAAGCAAGTCCTTAGCTTACATGGGGAAGAGGGAAAAAAAAACCCCTAAGATTCTTTGTCCAGCCCTAGTGATGAGGTGAAGGTGACAAATGCCTACTAATCCTACAACCACAGTCCAAAACCGCAATATATTAAATCTCCTTTATTAAAAGAGGTGCCTCTATGCAAAAATACAATTCTGTTTGTGTTGTGAATTGAAACATTCACCACTAAAAAAAAAAATCCTAGTTTTCCATCTCCTCCAAAAGTCACTTCACTCCTAAGAACTCAGCAATAATCAGAAATGCACATGGAAAAAAATTATAACTGACTCTGAATCTGAAAGATCTGCAAGGAAAGGGAGAGTTAAATGATGTATCTTAAAAGCTTATCTATTATTATGCAAATGAAGAAAATCTGACTCCACGGCACTTCAAGTCTGAGTGTCTGCAAATAAATGTAAAATTCTCTTTCAAGCAAACCATCTACTTCTCAATCTCACCTCACCCTTAAAAAAAAAAAAAATCCCAATCGTCTTTTTCTAGAGTGAAAAATGCATGTGGAACTTGCTTTAGGAAAATTTTTATCCTCTTGGGAGGAGACTGGGGGGGGGAATAAGGTTTAAAAAAAAAAAGACGTCGGAAACCTGAATGCCAAAGTGGCTCAAACACCTCTCCCGGTGGGAGGTAGAAGGAGTGGTCACAGTAGGATGGAATCAGAAACCTATACCAAGAACACATTCCTGGAAACTTCGCTCTTTCGAAGACCACATTCATCACCACGACTGTTGTTACAATATAGAAGAGAATGGTGTTATTTTACGTAAGAACGTTATAGCAAGGGTTTCAGACTCGGAGTGTCATCTCAGTCTCTCCCAATCGAGTGGCCTTTTCAGCCAAGTAGATTAAAATAACGGCGGGATAGAATCTCCAGGTGGTTGCTGTTTAGCAATTTTTACTACCATTGATTATTAGTAGCATCATCAGGATTCCTTAACAGCCGCGGACAATTTTTCTGTAAGCAACCTCCTCCTTCCCCTCCTGGGGTGGACCGACAGTGTGAACAATCTGGAGAAGTGGGAACCTTACTCACTTCGCTGTTCTCCTCACCCCAAAAAGGCACATACAAAACAAAAATCATACAACGGGCAGCACGCAACCCACAACAGGAAAAGCGGAAAAGCAACAAAAAGAGTCCCCCACCAGGACTACATTCGGGAAGGTACCCGGAATCTACCAGGCCGGCCCCTCCCCCAATGCACCCGGGCCGCTCTCCGCTGGGACCCAGGTGGCCTTGGAGCAGCTGCATACGCCGCGGTGCCTTCCCTCCCGGCACCCATCGGCCGGGTAGTGAGGGACACGAGGACGTGATCAAGGAGGTGCGGTGGGAGCCTCGGAAAATCGTCCGAGCCAGGCGAGGCTGGTTGCCCCGGGATGGGGACACAAAGAGGGAAGGGGAGTTTGCAGCGGTGGCGGGGTGAAAACAATTCTACTGGGGAAGTGTGTGCAAATTAGGGAAGGAAGTCCGAGGAAACCGAAGAATCCTTCCTAGATAAAGCAGCTGGTGCTCAGAAGAGGGGGGCTGTGCTGGGGAAAGTGGGTTCCGTGCAGAGGGCAAGGGATTCTGCAGAGGAAAAGGGGGGCGGAAGAGGAGTTGGTGCGTTGTCAGGGCGTCTGTGCAGAGGACTGAGGGGTCCGGCAGGAAGGGGGTATCTGTGCATGCAAGAGGAACCGATGCAGAGTCAAGGGGACCTATACCGGGCAATGGGACCTGGCTCTGCGCAGATAAGGTAGGATGCCTGGCAAGTTCGGGGACACGAAGAGGGCCACTTACCTGCATGGTGACGACCCCCAGCTCCTCGGCTGCCAGCCTCCGCATCTGGCTCGCCAGCACTTGCGCCTCGTCCAGGATGGAGAAGTCGGCGTCGGCCATGGCGCCCAGGAGCCAGCATGCGACCAGGCAGAGCAGCCAGAGGGGCGGCCGCCGCGCCCCGGCCCCGGCCCCGGCCCCGGCCCAGCCAGGCGAGCCCGGACAGCGGCGGGTCAGGGCGGCCGCCCCCGCCGTCTCCTCTTCCTCCGGCTGCCGGGCCATGCCGGCTCGCCCCACTCCCCGCCGACCGGCTCCAGGCGCGGGGAAGCGGGGAGGGAGCGGTGGGAGCTGCGCCCAGGGCCCGCTCGGCGCACCCCGCAAAACTTTCTTCCTCTTCTGCAGACTCGTCTCCGCGCCGCGGTGGCGGCGGCTCCCAAACTTAGGGGGCGCCCGGCTACAGCGCGGGAGCGCGGGCGGCCACCATCGCCCGGCTCGGCGGCGGGCGGGAGAGGAAGCGGCGGCGCGAGCGGTCCCCGGGAGCCCGGCCCCGCGGTGCCGCGGGCGTCCCCGAGAGCCGCGGTGCCGCAGGCCGGGCTGCGCGGGCCGCGGGCGGACAGTCGGAGCCGCGAGCCGCGCGGCCGTGGCTTCCCCCGAGTCCGGGCGCAGCGAGGCGGCGGCGGCGAGGGCGGGCGGCGGCAGCCGGGGAGCAGGCGCGGCGACCGGGCTGCGAGGCTGGGGCAGCCACCCGAGCGCAGAGGGAAAGGGTAGGTTTAAAAAAACACACAACTGAAAGAAAGAAAGAAAGCGGCGGGGGAAAGGGAGGTGTCTGGTGCCACCACGCTGCGCTCCGGCTCCGTGCACTTCCCGGCGCGGCCGCCGCCGCTGCTGCGGTGATTTATGGAGGCAGCGAGAGAGGCGGGGAAATGCCCCGGTCGCCCCTCCTCTCTTTCCCTCGCGCCCGCCTCAGAACCGGCCCCCGAGTCGCCGGGCCCGGAGACCAGACTCTCTTCTGGGGTACCAGCCCGGCCGCGGGAAGGGAGCCACTGGGACCTTGTGGCGGGACAGCGACCCACCCCAGCTCCCACCGCCTCCGCCCACGCGAGGGATCCGGGGTCCCACCCGTTCCTGGTTCCACCCAGCGAAAGTCCCTTTAAGTTCCAGGACGCTGGCTTTCTGCCTGGCAGTGATTGGGGAAGGAGGCGACTGCCATTTGTGCGTCCACTCCCTTTCCTCAGTGTTAATGATCACCACAGCCAGCCCGCGTCCGGGCAACAGATTTCCTTTTGCAACCAACCAGCTACTGTGTGCCCGGCACCGTGCTCTGGGGCTTGTATACCGTATTCCTTAATCTCCACTACATCCCCCACGAGGTATATATCTTTATCCCAAATTTTTAGGTAACAATGACTGAGGCTTAGAGAGGTGGAATAAATTGCCAAAGGTCACCAGGGGATTAAGAGGCAGATACAGAATTTAAGCACAAGTCTTACTCAAAGGCTCTTGCTCTTAAACACGACAAGGTTCTTTCAGCTGTCTTTGGAAATGAATCAACTGATCCCATCAAAAGAAAAAAAAAAAAAGAAGAAGAAGAAGAACTGAACCAGAGTTCACCACACACACCTGTTATCCCAAGCATGGAGAGGCAGGTTAACCTTCCTGTTTGCTCCTGACTCGAGCTTGCTGAGAAATCACCTGTTGGAAACACTTGGAACAAGTGGATGGGGTGTGTGTGTGTGTGTGTGTGTGTGTGTGTGTGTGTGTGTGTCTGTAGCAGCCATTCTCCCTTCCAATCACTATTAGGTCGCTGCTTGTAGATTCCTAGAGAACAGAGCCATCCCAGAGCTACCTAGTAGAGGTTGGTAGCAGGACTAGAACCTGGATTTAGCAGTACTCTTGCCATTTTACAGCAAACCCTTCTGTTTTACTTCTTTGACTATATTGTATTAAAAACTCACCTTCTCTTGTAAGCTCTCCATATCCTGTTTTTACCTCACTGTGATCACTTCTAACAATCAGCATTGAGTTTGAATCCCAAGGACAATACTTATGTGCTGTCATCTCTGTAAAACTTCTCTTAACCTCAGTTTTTTCGTCTGTACAATGTAAATACTACTACTCAAGGGTTTTGTGAAAAGACACATAAAGCACTTAGCATAGCACCTGGAACATAGAAGTACCCAATAAATAGTGGGTATGATTCTACAAGCTGAAGCTTTAAGAGAGCAAACGTTACAAATGAGCTAAGAAAGCCAGTCAGAGAGAAGCAAGAGTGGATGGAATGTGTGGCGCTGGTGGCCTGTTACAGAGACTATCACCAGGAACCAGAACTAACTTGATTTCAGGACTTTCTCATTCCAAATCCAGTCTGTATGATCTATTAATAACGGACTCTTTTTTCTCTTTTGTCTTGATGTAACTGTACAGATCAAGTTCAATCATCCATTCTATACAGAGAGGACACTATTGACTATGTAACTGTTTGAACTACAAAATGACAAAAAACTGCTAAGTGGGTCACAACTGTTCCTAGAAGACCACAGATGACCATGAAACTGTCTAATGGCTTTATCTTCTCTCCAGAGTGCTCCTGTACCCCTTGCTTGTGACCAAGTTGGACATCTCTTCATTATCTGCTTCCTTTCCAGAAGCTACAGCACTTAACATGCAGCCTTGCAACTGTCCATTTGCAAATCTGTTTTCTCCACCTTACTGTTTCTCAAGGTGTGGTCTACCAACCACCTAGAGAGGAAGCACTTATCAGGGACTGTGTCTGCCTTATTCATTGCCAGACTCTAGCACAGTTCTAGACCCAGCCTAGACACCCAAAAAATGTTGAACCAAAGAATTGGAAAAAAGAAATTAGGAAAGTGTGTGACTCATTAACTCTGAGCAAGGAGCTGCACTGACAATTTTGTTCCTTGACTGCTAAAGAAGAACTAATCAAGAGTCCTCATCAAACTGGCTGTTCTTCCATATTTTTGAAGATACAAAGCTACTTCAGTAATAGACTACCTCATGGTACTTATTGGCCAAAATGCTCAACACAGAAAACTCCCCGTCAAACTGTTTTGAAAAACCCTTGGCCCGATTTCCAGAAATGTGATGTGGAGTTTCCAAGCCACCATGATTCCCTTTGCATGCTCTGAGGGGGAAATAAAGCCCAAGTTAGCAACAAATTCTCAGCCTAATGCTGCTGGCAGATCTCCTATTCAAAACAATAACCACATGCAAACTGTATTGAACCTGTGAACTCAGGGCCCTGAAGAGAATAGGACCTGTAAAGCCAAGGGCAGAAATTATCTCTTGCTCATTAACTTTTATGATTACGATTCTCAACAAGTGTGATTCATAATAATGAATCACAGATAAACAGAAATGGCTAATGGTAGACTGAATCCTAGAACACAGATTCTGTTTTTCACATTCCTCCTTCTGATTTTGAAAATCATCAGATTTCCCATTTCCTTACAAATTGGGAGCCAGTAAAAGTAGAATAACAGTAATAGGTTACCGAGATTCTACCATGGGTCAGGCACTGTATATGGCACACAACATATCATTTCTTGACCTCTTAACGTGTTTCCTATGTCCTATCATTTAAGCATCAAAATAGATTGTTACAATTTTATACACAGGGAAACTGAGGCTCAGAAAAGTTAAGCAACTTGATCAAGGTTACAGGCTAGTAAACAGCGGAGCTGGGATGGAAACCCAGGTCCGTTTTACCCCTAACTCAGTTCTTTTGCTACTCTATTATGTGCCTCTCCCTGAAAGAAAAAGTTATAATAGTTGGCACCCCATAGATGCCTGCCTAAGAAACATCCTTATTTCTAAGGCAGCAACTACTTTTCCCTGTTAATTTTAACAAATATGTATTGAGCATTTGCTGTGTACCAATGATTTTGCTGGGTGCTAGGGATACAAAGATGAATACGACTGGTTGTCCTTAAGAACTTTACAGTTATTGGGAAAGACAGAGAATTTTAAGACCAATAATATTACATAGAACAAGTGCCTCAGGGCCTTTCCATGTGCTATTCCCTGTGTCTTAATGCTCTTCCTCCAAATATCTGCATTTCACTGCTAAGAACTGTGAAGGGTCTGAGACTTTACTCTAACTGCAAGCCAACAAGTCAGCCTGCCACAGCCTCATGGATGCCGGCAGGAAACGGCAGCCTCCTGGGTTAGAGACAAAGAACTGTATTGCTCACAGCAATAGCAGTAGCCAGAGCATCAGCATTTGCACCAGTCCTGCAGGCTCCAATTCCCACAGGGCAACATGAAGAGGACCAGGTGACACCTGCACGCATCAGCTAGCACTGAAGGAGAGGAACCCCAAGCTTGGATAACCCAAATCTTTTATAATGAAATGTGCAAATAAAACTGCCCTTTGGCCCAGAGGAGATATCTTTAATGTACTGAACGAAAGCAAATTTTCTCTTTGCTCTAAAGAGAGACTATTTCTAACCACCAAGGCTGTTCGCTAAACAAAGATCCATGAAAATATAGTCCAGAACAAAAGGACAGTTAGCGCCTTGCTCACAAGGCATGTAGAATTGCAAGAAATCCACAGAGAATTGTCTCCTCGAGTCACCTCCTAATCTGAGCTCAAATGTGAAGAGATGCCTTCCCTAACCATTCTGTTTAAGGTCGTAATCCCATTACCCTCCCTAAAGGAATTCCCTGCACTCTACCTTTCTATAGTACTTACATCATCTAGCATAATACATTTTTTTTTTTTTTTTTTTTGAGACAGGGTCTCTCTCTGTTGCCTGGACTAGAATGCAGTGGCATCATCATAGTTCACTGTAACCCCGAACTCCTGGTCTCAAGCGATTTTCCTGCCTCAGCCTCCTGAGTAACTGGGACTATAGGAGTGAGCCACCACACTTAGCTAATTTTTCTGTTTTTTATAGAGAGGTCTCATTCTTGTTCAGGCTGGTCTCGAACTCCTGACCTCAAACAATCCTCCCATCTCCCACAGCTAGGATTATAGGTGTAAGCTACCACTCCTGGCCCATAATACATATTTGCTTACTTATTTTGTTTACTGTAAGCTACACAAAGGCAAAGATTTTTGTGTGTTTTATCAACATGTCCTCAGTGTCCTCTATGTGCCTGGCACATGGTAAGTTCTCAGGAAATATTTGTTGAATTAATAAATATTTAATATAATATAGATGGCTAGGCACAATAGCTCACACCTGTAATCCTAGCACTTTGGGGGCCAAGGCAAGAGGATCTCTTGAGGCCAGGAGTTCAAAACCAGCTTGAGCAACATG